TACTTTTTGAAGACATTCGCCAGGCGATATAATTTTCAACTATACTTGCCCGATAACTATGAATCAACGGCAGAGCACGTGCTTTACATGGAGGATATTCGCCAGGCCGCTCGCAATGATTCGATCGATGTGGGTGCGAGTCTATCGACTCCGCAAAAGGAAGAAAATTTACACGAGTACATCTATCCGGTCGAGTTTTATCAATGGCTAACCATGCTGCCAGTGGAAGCGCCTTTGGAAACATACTACTTTTATACAAAAATTTTCGGTCCAGCTGTTATAGTTAGTCTATTTGCTATCGTTTGGTGTTTGTGCGTCATTGACGCCATTCATGTCAACTTGGCATGCGGCGGAAATTTAGACGGCAAGCGTCGATTACTACTCTTACTTATAAATCCCTGGCATTTTGATTTACTGCGTGGTATTGTCTGCCAGTCCTCTGCCGTTCGTTTTAATTATGGCACTCGGCGTATTATTTTTATACTGATCTTCGCTTTGGGTGGTACATTGAATAGCTTCTTTTCCACAAAATTAGTGAATTGGTTGACAGTTCCCCCGCGTGAGACACCTATTGAAGAATTTAGTGAAGTTGGTGAACGCAATCTACAGATACAAGTCTCTCAACCAGATATAGCTGAAATTAAATTTTACAAAGGCGTGGAATTTTGGAGAAAACATAGCCAGATATTCGAGATAGTACCGACTTTTGATGAATATCAAAAAAATATACGCAAATTGGACAACCGTTATGGTTATATAATGAGTTCATTGATGTGGCCAACAATTGAGGAGCGTCAAAAGTATTTCCAATATCCGTTATTTCGCTTATCGGAAAAATTGTACTACACAAAAGGCGCCCTCCTTAGCTTGCCCATCAGTGAGAATTCCATGTACAAAGACCTATTGAGTGATTTTTGTTTGCGTGCACGTGAAAATGGTTTACTTGTACATTGGTATAAAGAGACTTTCTTTACGATGGTCAGATTGGGGCGTTTCAGTCTTAAGGATCCCAGTAGCAGGCACAGGCACCAAGTGCTTACACTGAAGGAGTTCGAATGGGTGTGGATCGCTTATGGTGTCGGCATTTGTTTGAGTAGTGTGGCTCTTTTGTTGGAAAGACCTTGGCAATTAAATTAAGAAATAAAAAATTGAATATGTGTTGCAAGCTGTTACAGTGCTTATTATGTTCGACGCTATTAAAATAAAATGAGCTTTGGATGTGAAAAAATACGAAATCTTTGTTACAAAATATGTTTTACCATTGATCATTGAAGTATGTATGTTTAGATTTTGCAGGCNAGCTGTTACAGTGCTTATTATGTTCGACGCTATTAAAATAAAATGAGCTTTGGATGTGAAAAAATACGAAATCTTTGTTACAAAATATGTTTTACCATTATTAAATAAATAATTAAAATAAGCATAAAACTATTCCTTTATTTGTATATTAAAATAGTTTCAACTTTAAGATAATACAAATTAATTAAAAAACAAATGTTACCCTTTGATGCGACTGATTGGAAATGTAACGTTTCGATGAGTTCATAATAAGAAACTAAACCCTTCCTAATGAATATTTCGTTTTGGTTCAAATTGTAATGTAAGTTTTGTTATAAAGGCATACTGAATTGTTATCAAATCAACCTCATAACAAATACATACTTTAATTGATCGCCAATTTCGCATTTGTCGTTATCAATACTTTGAAAAAAAATCGTGTCTTTCAAATCCCTCAATGCTCGCCATAACTGTTTATCCAGTAACTTAGATAAGTCTTTCTTTTTTCATTCGTTATTTTGTTGCCTAAGCCACCACTTGCCAATAAATACTTTTGAAAACTATTTCCCTTTCTTCACATATGGATCATATTTCTCAGTGGATTCGTATTTGAAATTTGGGAGTACAGTAAAACCCGCTTAAGTACCTCACGAAAAATTTCAGCTTTTTGAGGTACTTAGGCGGGTTGGGTACTTAAAAGAACCCGCTTAAGTACCTCGATGCGGGTACTTAAGCAAACATAATTATTGATGTAGTTACATCTTTTTGTTAACTTAGATAAATATGTAAATCCTTGAATAAAACATAAACATTTAATGAAGTATACGTATTTATTTAAGATTTTTCAATTAAAATACAGTTCGTTCCCTAACAAATACCATGTAAACTTAAGCTTAAGATTTTATAGAACACTTAAAGAAAAAAATTCATGAAAAATTAAAATTTTTTCTCGGATGTGTTTTTGGAGTATACAGTTTTATAGCCCATTCAATTTTAGAGCAATAATGTCCAAGTTTCAAGTGGCTAAAAATTACCGTTGATTTTTTAGAATTTTTTGCTGAAGGTGTGTAACGCTGCCACTGAGATTCAAAATATGTAAATATTTTAAGAAATTGTAAAAGAGCACTTAAAAGGGAAAATTGTAGGTAAAATGGTAAATTGGGTAAATAAGCGGGGAGGTACTTAAGAGAGGGATTTTCTTCAGATTACATTCGAAAATTCACATTGCCCAAAAATGTTGGTTACTTAAGCGGGTAAGGTACTTAAGCGGGGGGTACTTAAGCGGGTTTCACTGTATTTTAAGCAAACATTGCAGTTGTTCTTAGATTTTTGAAAAAATATACGCTTCCTATTTTGTATGCCATTTCTAGGTCTAAGGGTACGTTTACACAGAAAGCGGAGCCGAGCTGAGCCGAGCGAAGCCGTTCCGAACTGAGTGACGCTTTCAAATTGCTGTAGCTATATGAAAGTGTTCATACAGCAAGCTTTTTCATAAGCGTTTTGGAGCTAAAAGCAAAGCAGTTTTTGATTTTGAATTTTCTATTTAATTTTTCAGCTTCATGACGCTGCTGCAAACAAAATATCAAAATATTCAAACAACAAGTAATTTTTAGCAACTTTNTAAGTACCTCACGAAAAATTTCAGCTTTTTGAGGTACTTAGGCGGGTTGGGTACTTAAAAGAACCCGCTTAAGTACCTCGATGCGGGTACTTAAGCAAACATAATTATTGATGTAGTTACATCTTTTTGTTAACTTAGATAAATATGTAAATCCTTGAATAAAACATAAACATTTAATGAAGTATACGTATTTATTTAAGATTTTTCAATTAAAATACAGTTCGTTCCCTAACAAATACCATGTAAACTTAAGCTTAAGATTTTATAGAACACTTAAAGAAAAAAATTCATGAAAAATTAAAATTTTTTCTCGGATGTGTTTTTGGAGTATACAGTTTTATAGCCCATTCAATTTTAGAGCAATAATGTCCAAGTTTCAAGTGGCTAAAAATTACCGTTGATTTTTTAGAATTTTTTGCTGAAGGTGTGTAACGCTGCCACTGAGATTCAAAATATGTAAATATTTTAAGAAATTGTAAAAGAGCACTTAAAAGGGAAAATTGTAGGTAAAATGGTAAATTGGGTAAATAAGCGGGGAGGTACTTAAGAGAGGGATTTTCTTCAGATTACATTCGAAAATTCACATTGCCCAAAAATGTTGGTTACTTAAGCGGGTAAGGTACTTAAGCGGGGGGTACTTAAGCGGGTTTCACTGTATTTTAAGCAAACATTGCAGTTGTTCTTAGATTTTTGAAAAAATATACGCTTCCTATTTTGTATGCCATTTCTAGGTCTAAGGGTACGTTTACACAGAAAGCGGAGCCGAGCTGAGCCGAGCGAAGCCGTTCCGAACTGAGTGACGCTTTCAAATTGCTGTAGCTATATGAAAGTGTTCATACAGCAAGCTTTTTCATAAGCGTTTTGGAGCTAAAAGCAAAGCAGTTTTTGATTTTGAATTTTCTATTTAATTTTTCAGCTTCATGACGCTGCTGCAAACAAAATATCAAAATATTCAAACAACAAGTAATTTTTAGCAACTTTTTGCTCGACTTTCTTTGTGAACGCGCCCTAAAATAATTACTTAAAATTTGTATGTTTCAATCGGACCATTGAGACTTTACACTGCCGTTTTTTGAATAAATTTCGCAATTGGAGGGAGATTTGAAAAAACTTGTTTTGATGTTGCTGGGACTAGAAATTGAACCATGGTAGTAGGCACATCTAAGTACAGTAAAAATACAATAAAGTATTNAAAATTAAAATTTTTTCTCGGATGTGTTTTTGGAGTATACAGTTTTATAGCCCATTCAATTTTAGAGCAATAATGTCCAAGTTTCAAGTGGCTAAAAATTACCGTTGATTTTTTAGAATTTTTTGCTGAAGGTGTGTAACGCTGCCACTGAGATTCAAAATATGTAAATATTTTAAGAAATTGTAAAAGAGCACTTAAAAGGGAAAATTGTAGGTAAAATGGTAAACGGGGTACGAAAAATTGAGGTATTTGGGCGGGTTGGGTAAATAAGCGGGGAGGTACTTAAGAGAGGGATTTTCTTCAGATTACATTCGAAAATTCACATTGCCCAAAAATGTTGGTTACTTAAGCGGGTAAGGTACTTAAGCGGGGGGTACTTAAGCGGGTTTCACTGTATTTTAAGCAAACATTGCAGTTGTTCTTAGATTTTTGAAAAAATATACGCTTCCTATTTTGTATGCCATTTCTAGGTCTAAGGGTACGTTTACACAGAAAGCGGAGCCGAGCTGAGCCGAGCGAAGCCGTTCCGAACTGAGTGACGCTTTCAAATTGCTGTAGCTATATGAAAGTGTTCATACAGCAAGCTTTTTCATAAGCGTTTTGGAGCTAAAAGCAAAGCAGTTTTTGATTTTGAATTTTCTATTTAATTTTTCAGCTTCATGACGCTGCTGCAAACAAAATATCAAAATATTCAAACAACAAGTAATTTTTAGCAACTTTTTGCTCGACTTTCTTTGTGAACGCGCCCTAAAATAATTACTTAAAATTTTTATGTTTCAATCGGACCATTGAGACTTTACACTGCCGTTTTTTGAATAAATTTCGCAATTGGAGGGAGATTTGAAAAAACTTGTTTTGCTGTTGCTGGGACTAGAAATTGAACCATGGTAGTAGGCACATCTAAGCACTCGACAACGGCGGCAAGGGCAATACCCAAATCAGTAAAAATACAATAAAGTATTAAAAAAAAGTAAAAATAGGACCCAGCGTGAATTTTTCACAGATATTTAGTTATTTAACATTTGATCTAAAAAAATCTTTCAACTTGTTTTGATTTGCTCTTTTCTAAACAAAAGCTATATTAACATATACGGTTAATAGTTTTATTGTATTAATTTTGGGTCATGAATTCATATCAACATAAGCATCTTCACTGTATGAAAACCATGTAAATTAATGTCGGTTCATCCGGATTTTTTTTAATTTCAAAATCGGAAACCGGTTGTTTCAAATTGCAATTTTTCGATTAACTCGAAAGTCGGTTTTGGAAAAAGTCGAATAATCGAACACCCTAGTACAAACATACAAGTCTATGTATACATACATATTAGAATTCAGCAATGCCGGGAAGCCCATGCAATGCGACGCCTACATTTTGAACTACATTCAACAGCTGCGCCGACTTTCGCATTTCTACGTAAATATATTTTTTATCATTACCCTTCTCATGTATGTATGCATTAGCGCACACAAAGGGTAGGTTTTGGGGTTCAAACCCCCCCTAAAGCTAATAACCTGAAATACAAACTGTATCCTAAAGCGAGCTCTCAAGAAAAATCACAAGAAATATTTTTTATTATAAAGCACTTTGCTTTTGCTGTAAATTTTCTTGAAGAAATAAATATACGAGCATTTTTTTCTTGAGACTGATATGTCCTTAACAAGGATTCGAAGATTTAATTTGCCCACTTCGAATTCGTTCCATCAAAATTGCCTACATAACAAAAATTCAAGTTCATTTAATTTTCTCGGCATTCGAAATATTAAAAAATATAGGCAATCGTAAAAAATCACCATCTCATTCGAAAACCAGAAACCAGATATCGAGGAAAATGAACATTAACACTCTTTTTTTAATTTTTTTATTACTTTTGCAAGTTGAGCTCATCTTGTGTTTATAGAACTTTATATTAAATAAGTAATTTCAAATTACGGGAAGACCCTTGAGGTACCATCTTTCCGATAAAAAGAAAGAATTATTGAAATCGGTTCACGTGGTCCAAAGTTATGCGTTAGCGAATTGATAACCTACCCCTATTTCGAAGT